TTCCCCCGTTGCCGATTTCTACTATTTATTCAGCCTGCAAAGGAGTCTGGTAGAGACTACCCCTCTAGAGCAAAGAACCTTTCAATTTTGTAGTTTAGGTAAAGTAGAAGAGGCAAGATTCCAACCGCTCCGAGGCAGGTTTTCCCTTCGAGCCACGGCAGGATTTGCATTGGCGCCGAGGAAGGATAACATCCAATCCCAGGCTCGTGTACAGTGGACGGTCCCCAATGAGGCACAGGTCACGTCAGCACATGTTGTCAAGAACGTAACCACATGGAAATTACGGTGCTAGTATTTTTGCTTTTGAAAATTCGAAAGGTTGCGACTAACCAAGGACAACCTTGGTTTTGAAATCTATATATAGGAATGCGTGGTTGTGTCCGTTTTCGCGGGTGATGGAATTATTAAAGGACTGTACTGGAAAACAATGATGCCCGGAAATAAGGGTACTTAGCCCTGTTAGGCCCTGTTAGAGCAGATGGTACAAGGAGAAACGACAGACATGTGGGGACGTTTGCAGGGTAGCGGGCAACGATGACAAATGTGACAAATTTAGAGAGAATATACTACAACAATGGTCAAGTTACAAGTCTTATATACATAATTAAAGATGCGAGTACAATGTTTGGTTACGTCGAGAAACAAATACAAATTACCTACAAACGGAGCTAACTACAATGTGTGTTAATAGCCAGAAATTCTGGTCTCGATTTACATTTCAAATCAAGCGGACTAACTACTAGTATAATCAAGGAGCTTTTATTCAACTAATAATCTTCAAGCAGATCATACGGTGGAAAGCTTTGGTGGCTATAGAGACTCCTGGATAATGGACACTGTCGTGCCACCGTATCATCTGCTTGGATATTAAGGTCATGTCGGCTTCCACAGGCCTCTGGCCAAGCCTGTATGCTACATTTATATTATATAGTATCCGTTCTTGACAGCATGTAGTGACAAGACGTCTGGCGGTCTCTGACCCATTGGGGACCGTCCACTGTACACACGCCTGTTAGTCGAGGTTATCCTGCCTATATATAGATACCAAAACCAAGGTTGTCCTTGCTTAGCCACAAATTTTCGAACTTCCACAAGCAAAAAATACTAGTATCGTAATTTCCATGTGGTTACGTTCTTGACAACATGTGGCGACATGACCTGTGACCCATTGGGGACCGTCCACTGTACACAACCTGCTCGGCGCGGTTGGAAATCATTCTGTGGAGCGAAGGGAAAACCTGCCTCGGGGCGCGGTTGGAATCTTGCCTCGGCGCGGTGGGAAATGGGCCGGGTGTGGAACGAAGAGAATTTGTATGGGACGGTGAAAAATGGGGGTGGAGCGAAGAGAAATTGGTATGAAAGAAGAGAAATAACTGTGGAACGAAGAGAAATGGGTATGGAGCGGTGAGAAATGGATGTGGAACGAAGATAAAAAAGTATGGAACGGTGAGAAATGGGTGTGGAGCGGTGAGAAATGGGTGTGGAACGAAGAGAAAAAAGTATGGAACGGTGAGAAATGGGTGTGGAACGAAGAGAAAAAAGTATGGAACGGTGAGAAATGGGTGTGGAACGAAGAGAAAAAAGTATGGAACGGTGAGAAATGGGTGTGGAACGAAAAGAAATAACTACGGTGTTTTGCGTACAAAAATTGCGCACAAAGCCACGATAGTTTCTGAATATTAACAGTTGTCTTTCCCAACATATAGGATGCTGACTTGGAAATATACTACCATGAGGACCAACACGTCAGTCTTGATGAGGGGGATGAGCTCGAGGGGGTTGAAGAGCTGCAGGACGAGGATGAAACAGATGTAGAGGAAGTGGAGATAGATTCTGAAGAAAGTCATGAAGAGGATGAGGAGGACAGTACCACAATGTCATGGATGATAACATTTTTACTTTACCTCAATGTATGGAAGTCTCATTTTAACATTTCTGACAATGCATTTGTTGCATTTTTGACTATGTTGAAATCATTTTTAATAGCTTTGTGTAGTATGTTTCATATGAAGACAGTAGATTTCCTTGTCACATCCTTTCCACAAACAATGTACAAGTTCCAAAAGACATTGGGATTAGACAGAAATGACTTCACTCGCTACATAGCCTGCCCATCCTGTGATTCGGTCTATACACAAGAAGAAGCAACAGAAGTGGAAAGGGATTGGCAAGGTAATATTGTCAGGAAAAAGTCTGCGAAATGCTCCTTTGTTGAATTCGGCGAACATAACCAACGAAGGTTCCGTCGACCATGTGGCACATTGCTAATGAAAACCTATGTAGGGAAGAATGATAAAGAGTTTCTTTATCCAAATAGGACATTTTGCTACCGGTCTATCATAAAGACTCTGCAAGACTTGACTTTAAGACCAGGTTTTATTGAGGACTGTGAAAAATGGAGAACTAGAAATGTTTCAGAGGGTGTGTATGGCGATATCTATGACGGGAAGGTGTGGAAGGACTTTCAATATTACAACGGTCAACCTTTTTTGTCTGAACCTTGCAACCTTGGATTAATGTTGAACTGTGATTGGTTTCAACCTTATGAAAACGTTAAGGATTCTGTAGGTGTGTTGTATTTGGTGATAATGAATCTCCCAAGGGAGCAAAGATTCAAAAAAGAAAATATTATTGTTGTCGGTATAATACCTGGGCCAAGGGAGCCTAAGGGACATATTAATGGCTATCTAGACCCAATGGTTGAGGAGTTACAGAGGTTATGGGATGGCGTATACCTTTATGACACCTCTGATCTTGGCAAGCAAAAGTACAGAGCAGCCTTGCTCTGTTTGTCTTCTGATATCCCAGCCACAAGGAAAACTGGTGGTTTTCTTGGTCACATGGCGAAGAAGGCTTGCTCAAAATGTCTTAAAACCTTCTCGAGAACACAAGAAAACAAAGTTGACTATTCAGGCTTCAACCTTGATGACTGGGAGCCCAGAACAAAAGAGATCCATCTTGACTGCGCTAGAAGGGCAAAACGTGCCAAGACCAAGTCCGAACAACAAAAAATTGAAGCTGAATTTGGTGCAAGACACAGTAGCCTACACGATTTGCCGTATTTTGACCCAATTCGAATGCATGTTGTGGATCCTATGCATAATATTCTTGAAGGAACAGCAAAGCGTGTTATGCAGCTGTGGAAAGAAAAGGATATTCTATCCAATGTGTCTTTTAAGACACTTCAGTCAAGGGTTGACGACTTAAAGTTACCCTCTGACCTCGATGCAGGGCTTCCCAGTAAAGTCGAATCGTCCTTTGAAGGTTTTACTGCTGCCCAATGGGAACGTTGGGTCTGTACTTTCTCTCTGTGTGCACTTAAAGGCATACTTCCTGATGCAGACTACAATATTTGGAATTGTTTTGTAACGGCAGCAAGGATACTATGTAATAGGGTTATCACAGCCCGACAGCTCAATGAAGCCCATTCATGTTTGAAGATTTTCTGTGACACATTTCAGCGCCGATATGGTAAAAAGTGGTGCAGCATGAATTTGCACCTGCATCTGCACCTAAAGCAATGCATTGAAGACTACGGCCCCGTCCATGCATTCTGGTGCTTCTCTTTTGAGAGGGCCAATGGCACATTGGGGGATTACCACAACAATAATAGACATGCTGAAGTCATCATGATGCGTAAATGGTTGATAGATTGGCAAGTTGCATCCAAGCAAAAGCAGGCAGAGTTGGGGGACCATCTAATTGAAATACCACCAGTGTCAAGTTTTGTAGGCGGTAAAAAATCAAGAAATGGTCATGTCTTGACTATGGAACAGTTGAGCATGCTTAAGAGCCTTCAAGAAGGTACCGTGGTCCATTTTGCTAACTTTGAATATGATAGTGAATTCGAAGAACTTCTCCCACCATTGAAACCAACTTATATGAGTTGTGATGAGAACGAGGAGCTGCTTCGTATGTTTCAAACTGTGTTTCCTGATAACGATGTAGTTAGAGTTTCTTTGTCTTACATCAAGTTTGACCGATGTTATTTCGCAGGAGAGTTGATATCGTCAGAAGACTACAGGACAGACTCATCCTCTTGTATATATGCTAAATGGTTTACTAACCAGGAGATAACGGGTAACCCCATAATTGATGTAAATGCAGATCCTAGGCCAGGATTGATTGTAAGGATGCTAAAGGTGTCAGTATTTCATAGAATTGGTGGTTCAGAAGAAAAGGCCGTTTATACAGTGGCCGAGGTCCAGTGGTTCAAGGAGCATGGGGATAGGTACCACTATGGTAGGAAAGACTTATGTTCTGTCTGGGACATCAGCTTCGAGCCATTTTCACATGCTTCCTATCTACCTTTGAAAAGGATTCTACATAGATGTGCATATTCAAAGACAAAGGTTCCGTTTTCAACCACAAGGGAAGAGACAGTGTACACAATTGTACCTCTGTCATCTGTGCGATGCATTTAAGTACATAAATATAAGAATAAGTATAAATCTTTATCTCCTTACGAGTTGTAAATATTTGGTTTACTGTATAATTTCACAGTCTTTTTAGACAGTACCTACTTGTATGTATGATAATGTGGAAACACATCTATGATTTCTGTATAAGTATAAATCTTTATCTCCTTACGAGTTGTAAATATTTGGTTTACTGTATAACTTCACAGTATTTTTAGACAGTACCTACTTGTATGTATGCTAATGTGGAAACACATCTATGGTTTCTGTATAAGTATAAATCTTTATCTCCTTACGAGTTGTAAATATTTGGTTTACTGTATAACTTCACAGTATTTTGTAGACAGTACCTACTTGTATGTATGCTAATGTGGAAACACATCTTGAATTTCTGTATAAGTATAAATCTTTATCTCCTTACGAGTTGTAAATATTTGGTTTACTGTATAACTTCACAGTCTCTTTAGACAATACCTACTTGTATGTATGATAATGTGGAAACACATCTATGATTTCTGACCATGTTGTGATTTTGATGTTGATCTCACAACAAAAGAGAACACAGCCAAGATGACGAAGGAGTGCATCGCATTAAAGGATCTTATGTCACACTTAATAACGTGTATATATCTTTTACTGTAATAAACATAGACTGACTCTGAGAAAGGCATACCCATATTTTAAGTACTAGCTAGTCCCGGAAATGTTAAAATTGCTTGCTTTCATTGAAGAATGAAATCAAAAGCTCTTGAACCAACCACATGCACTCCCCCTTCCTCGTCAGAAAAGTTGATGTTATGATGAGGACACAAATTGGGAAACTTGCATACTAGTAGTTGAGGAGATGGATTGGAAGCGTTAGCGCGCCGAATATATAGCACGGTTTCTGCTCACAGATAAGGACAAAATCATGTAACGCACATAGTATACGGTAGGGAATAATGGCGCCGTGCATAATTGAACAGTTCGCGTTGTTCAAGAAAGATGTTACCCCACATAGCGAATGCACTCATGACTATATTTCAGTCAGAAACTGATATGCGCGCGTTCTAGTCTACTGCTATTCGAGAACTCATTCATGATTCTCAAATATTTTCCGCCACCGCATGAACAAGTGTAGATTTTACCGCATCTCTCCAAAGTGGGGGTTTCATCCACGTAACAACAAGGAAGCGGTATTTATTCATGGTAATTCAATTTCACGAAACTAGTACATACTGCGGTAGGTGCACGTGCGGTGCTGTTGAAATATCTTCTCCACATACCCCTTTATTCCTGTTGGAGATATACATGTATAGGCAAATTTAATCTTTATATTTTTTCTAATATGGACGCTTGCGCAAGTGCGTGCCAACAAAAGCAGTCCAATTTCAAGGTTAGCACATTATACCCCACGAAAGAGACATCTTTTCATTGAAGTCAAAGAGCCTTTCAGATCAAAAACTCTGCAAAAAGATCTGAACGCCAAAGAAGAATTCGAAACACAGGAATCATGCAGTTTAATCCAAAAAAGTATATCAATACTATGCATGCAACTAACAAACAAACAAACCTCATGTAACTAGCTAACAGTTTGTTAGCCTGGAATCCAAACCTATTATAGCTTCCGATCCTGTATCCGGAGAGCATGGATAGGTTTGGATGTAACAACTACGTACAAATACCAGCCCAGAAAAGAGCAAGAAATAGTCATACCTGGAAGTATGAAAGTTATCAACCAAGGATTGAGGTGTTCAAATACCCATTTTCCCTAAAACTCTAGTAGAGTCGAAATCGCTACCACTTTGACAGCAGGGGCATCGTCACTAGATCGCTTTAATCAATGTTAGATGTTCAAAGGTTAGGTGAAACAATACACTTGTTGTAATATAGCCAGCTGCCGCCGCGCCGCGTACCTACGAAGCTGGTGTGTTGGGTGTCGGACGTTTCGACACTTTGACAGTTCCGAGTAGGCATCTATACAAAGTCTTATCTTTTACGGTCGTATCTATATCTATATATATATATTGTCAGGTGAAGTAAACAATAAATAGACGTATCCCAGTACATGTCACAGTTAATGCAAAATGTTATCTATACGTTAAAACAAATTTGCACAATACCAGCCTCATATATTAAGCTAGCTGTGCTGTTAATTGATCTACTCGTCTTCCATCCCTTGTGAAGATACAGGGCATGCACCTGTCTTAAACTTCGGACAGGCGCAGATGTAGGCCTATATCGTTGATACCTGTAACACGTTAGAGCGACATGGATGGCGTTAAAATCAATACACGTAAACTATATTTTGAACACGGATAGCCTACAATACTATTTAACTTTTGGTATAGTACGTTGGCCTGTTGTGTACACTGTTTAATTGATTTTTAACGTTTATTGGAAAAAACTTATTAAAAGTGCCCTCTAGCGATTTGCATCAAAGTGCAGCACGCAAATATATTTTGAAAGGAATTTGGGCAAATATTACAATGAAATTGTCTGATGATCAAGTAAAACATCAATGGTTGTGTTAATTGTTTTGTTAATTGCTTTGTGGCTTCATACTCTTATCTTTCATACAAGTTGTAACACCATACATTTGCCCAAATGACCCCAAAACAGCATTTTTCGCCCCAAAATGCGATATCGCTAAACGTCGACCGATCTTCACGAAACCAACTTTTTTGGATGCGGAACCATCCACCGACATCAGTTCCACCCTTGGTTTTTGAAAAAAGGATAATTTGCCCAAATGACCCCAAAACAGCATTTTTCGCCCCAAAATGCGATATCGCTAAACGTCGACCGATCTTCACGAAACCAACTTTTTTGGATGCGGAACCATCCACCGACATCAGTTCCACCCTTGGTTTTTGAAAAAAGGATAATTTGCCCAAATGACCCCAAAACAGCATTTTTCGCCCCAAAATGCGATATCGCTAAACG